ATCCTCATCCTCATCCTCATCCCCATCCCCATCCTCATCCCCATCTTCATCTTCATCTTCACCTTCATCTTCATCTTCATCTTCATCTTCATCCTCATCTTCATCTTCATTTTCATATTTATTCAAAACCATTTCTTTTGATACCCATATTGGGATAAATGATTTATTTTAACTAACAATTTGAATTTAAAACTAAAATCAAATTGCACATCTATAGGTCAGGCCTTTCATTTGACACCTCATCCTTTAAAATCGAACTAACGGTACAGATTTTATGACTCGGTGTTAAATATTTAACGAAACCCTCTGCGGCAGAGACATTTTGAATTCGATTTTCTAACATGTGGCAACTCCTTTCATGGAACTAAAGCTATGTTGCACACCCGAAGGATGAGGCCTTTCATGTGACACCTCATTTTTGAAAATCGAACGCACGATACAGATTTTATGACTTGGTGTTAAGTATTTAACGCAACCATCTCCGCTCTCGTGTAAGAAGTTTCACTTCAACAAAAATCCAAGAATTTGAATTTTTGGCTCGCCCGTATATGTTTAGAATATGGACCAGTCAGCGATCATCAATGTATACTCAATTTGTCACACAGCGAGGACGAGTTCGAATCGACGGCGTGGCGAACGTCGCCTGCGAACAAAATGTTCACCAGAACGAGTCGGAAACGACTTCGTATCGAAGTCGTTTGACAAATTGGGTAATAGTTAAAGGTATGTATGAACTTCTCAAATGAAGCTGTCCCTTTTGTCGATGCACACACATATCGAAATGTATGCAAATATTGATTGTAAACTATCTATGTGTTGAGTATAATTTGCTTAAAGTCTTATAGTAGCTAAAACCAATTCAAATACAGCAAAAGCAATTGCAACAAGCACATTCACAATTCTAAAGAGCACAAACTTCGGCTTTAACTTCCATTTGCATTTACATATGTATTTGGGTATGTGCATATATACAATTCCAATTTATTTACTTTTAATCGTAGCTACAGTGTGCTGGCAGTTTGTCTGTACATATTACTTGCTTGATGTTTCAACATCTGCCTCTCTTATATTATCCAACAAACGTTTAATTGTACAACTGCAGCTCCACCAACACCATGTTGTATGTCTACAACAGCGACAAAGTGATATTTTAATAGTTAAGAAAATAATAAACAAGTCAACTGTACGGATATACATATGTATATGTACATATGAACATAGTTGGTAGTGTAAATAAAATATGTAAGTATGGCCAATGTACAAATTCCCTTGGAGGCCAACATATCGGAGGCACCACTACCGTTGCGTTGTTCGGTGCCTTTCCACTGCTCAGTTATCTCAGCAATCATTACAA